GTACATTTTGGCCAACTTAATTGTTTGGCTTTATTTTTAGCTTTGCTGGCAGAAAGGAAAAACTTGAAGGAAAAATCCCTTTTTGCCACACGTTTACACTCTCTTGATTTTTATTTCACTTTGCAATGCTTTAATATTTCACATGCAATTTTTTTTTTTTTTTTTTTTTTTTTTTTTACTAATTTAAACATTTTTGCATTTTGCTGCTTTTATGCTTAAGATTTTGGCATTAAGAGTTGTTTGTTTATGCGAATAAATTTTATGCTAATTTAAATGCGCACACATTGGAAATTGCTGTGAGTGTTTTTTTTTTTTTTTTTGCTTGGTTGCCTTTAGGCCAAAAGGCAATTTGGCAATTTGCATGTGCAAAATTGGAAGTTGTTGCTGTTGTTGTTGCTTATCTGCTCATGAAATTGTTTGTCATTTATGAGTGTGCGTGTGTGTGTGTGCAAGGATTAGACTTGTATGCCAAATTAGCTTATTTGACATTTCAATGAGCAAATATTTGTACAAATGCGTAAAATATTTTAAATATATATATATGTGTGTGTGTGTGTTTCACGCTTGACTAGCTGTGCTGTGTATCTGTGCGGCAGCTTTAAGGTCGCATACATGCGTGTGTATGTGTATGTGTGTCCTTGAGTGGCCCAAATGGCAAGCTGTCAGCGCTCAAGTAAAGCCGTCTCGAAAGTGCCGAGCATTGGCTCTTTCAGTCTCAGTCCCTCACTCTCTCACTGTCCCACTCTCTCACTGTCTCTGGTATTTATTTATCTGCTCTTGTCAGTTAATTTCCGTTCAAGTAGCCATTAAAACAATCATTGCGGCGCTTAGGCGCCCACAGACACACAGACACATACACACACATACACTCACACACACGTATGCCGCCAGCATATTTATGTGACAAGCGTCATTCTTATGTGCCGCCATTAACAGCTACAGCTTGTTGTCACAGCAGCCATTTAATAATAATAAAGTGAGTGAATCCAAGTTAAATAACTCAATTAAGGGGCTACCAGACGTGGGTCTGGATCGCGGTCAGCAGCTGACCCACTCGCTCACCCACTCGCCCACTCGCCCACTCTTAGGGCCCAGCCACAGCTAATTTTAGCCATCAGCCGCATTCAATTTGTGCCTTTTTTCTGCTGCTTTCTATTTCCTTTCTAATTTCTTTTTCTGTTTGTTCTGTATTTAATCATTTCCAATTTGAGCTTGAAGCCAAAGCCCGGACGACATTGGGTAATATGTATAAAAGCCGTCATGTTTGGTTATACCATATTATATTTTGTGATTAGCTGAACTTGCAACATGTGGCACGTGTCAACTGTTAGCTTCACACAGTTGAGCTCCAGAAAGTTTTGTATAAGTTTTCAACTTTTAATGCCACGCAAAGTCAATTTATCTGTGCACTCGACACTTGACTTAACATGACAGCCTCTCCCTCTCAAGGAAGGGCTACAGCTCGACTCAGCTGTAGCTATAACTGTAACTGTGTAGCTATAACTGTAACTATAACTGGTGTCATTGTTGTAACAGCTGTAACTGAAACAACCATCGCAACTAACTCTTTAATCAGCTCACAAACACGCTGCTGTTAGTCAAAGGGTTCGCCTCAGGTACACAGCCTCGGCGTCTCTGCTTTCTGCACCCCTTCAGCTTGCGCTAGGGTTAATTAAACCAATTATTTTGGATTTTAATGGGTTTTCCTTTAATGAAAATGCTGTTTTCCTAAATGTACTTTAAGCGCCCATTGTGTAAACAGTTTTCTGTTCTTCTAATTTCGTGTTGTCTTTTACTTGTTGGAATTGCATTTTTTTTTAATCAAAGAAAAAAAAATTTATATATATATATTTTTTTTTTTTTTTTTAATTTTCTGTTTTGTTTTGTTTTTTTTTTTTTTTCAGTGTATTTCATAGTTTATTTTCGCTAATATTATTGTAAATTGAGTCGGAATTTATTAAATTTATTTAAATACTTTATATACAACATATTTTCTATATATATATATTTTTTTATGTTAATATTCAATAAATTTCGGCAATAAATATACTCATTTTGTTTATTTTGTTTGAATAAATCATTTCTATGAATATTTAATTTAATTTTAATAGAAATTGCACCTTTTTTTTATTTTATTGCACAATTTGATTTTAAAATAACTTTTTATATAAGAAAATTTTTGAAGCAAAAAGTTTAAATTATTTAATATATATTTTTAGATATTAGATTTAGATATGAATATAAATATTTAAAATATATTATGATGTTAATAAAATTTTGTTTATTGTTACTTTATTTTATATTTTCGCATTTAAAAATATTTATTGTGTAAATATTTATATTTATTTATTTATATAGATTTATTTTTATTTATTAATCTATATTAATTTTAAGTACAATATTAATTATTTATAATTATTATGTTTTATGTTTTTTTTTTTTTTAATTATTATATCAACATTCTATTAAACTAATTTATTTGTATTGCTTATAAATATTATATTGTTGCTTTAATATTTATTATTTCATTTCCATTTCCACATTTTATTTATTTTTGTTAAAAAAAAAAAATTATGAAAACAGTCCATTAACAATGGACACCTTTGACTACCTGTCACAACCGTAAAACACGCTTACACACTTTCACACACACGCACACCCGCACATACACACGCACTGAGACACACAAATACACAGCCAGAATACGGGCACGCCACGAGTCCGATCTAATTGTTCAAGATGCGCGCTGGTTGGCTCTTGGGTGCCTTAATGTACGAGGTTCAGGACTCGCAATTGCTTTCGTTCGCGTCGGCACAGGAATAACGACTGAGGCGCAACGAGCCTGGCCCACGGACTTGGCCACGATGAACCCAAAAACTCACCACAGGCAGGACGACGCGTGGTGGGCTTCAAAATAAGAAACAGCTGCTGTCGCCAATTGGCGCCAAAAGCCGGCAAGCCATTTGTTTATATTTCGCCTTAAGAGAGGCACACAAAGCGCGTGGGAGAGAGCGAGAGAGAACACGAAAAGAGCACACTGCTGCGTTAAAGCTCAACGACAAAGAGCGACTGTTAACAGCGTAAGAGCGCAGCGGCTGTTAGCTAAAAGCTTCGGCAATGGCTTTAATCACCGCGAGCAACAGAAATTCAAAATGCTTGTAGATGAAACAAAAAAAATACTAAATGTGTGATAAAATAAATCAGAAAAAAAAAAAAAAATTAAAAATATATATATACAAATAAATAAAGTAAATAAATAAAATGAATATTTATGTAACATATGAAATAAATAAAGTATACGCCAGGTAAGCTTCAGATACTTTTGAAATGTAGGAAATATAAATATAATATTAATATTTTGGGAAAAGCATAAAGATGAATCTTAAGTTTTTAATTAATTATTTTAAATTATTTGATGCTCAAAAATACTTTGTAGAAGACTTTAATTAAAAAAAAAAAAAAAAAAAAAAAAAATAATAATTGAAAAAAAATATTAATGAAAATTAAAAAGAAAATAATTTAAGAATAAAATAACAATAAAATATAAAATTGTAAATAAATAAAAATATATTCAAATAATAATAATAATAATACAAATTTATTGAAATAAAAATAAGCTTTATTTTAAATATACGACAAACTCAAATATAATGTAAATAAATAAAAAAAATATATATATATATAAATAAAATGTTCTTAAAAAAAAAATAAATGAAAACCAATAAATAATAAATATACGATAAACTTATAAATAATTCTCTTAGTCTCTCAAATCAAATAGTAGCTCAGAGTTCGAGTCTTGAATCGGTTTCTAATCAGTAAAAGATGCTGATGGAAAGAGAGACCCTTACTCATGCAACGATACTTATAGAAAGAGAGCGCCTTACTGCCCAACTGAAACATATAATTTAGTATATATAATATTTCACCCTTTGCTAGCTGGACAAATTGAGTGAATGCTAGGTCAGGACACAGATTATAAAAAGATGGCCCTAATCAATAAGGCTTCAATTTGTGGCCAACAGCACTCAGCAGGTCGTACCTGTTGTTGGCCCCATATAAATGTATGTATAAGCTAACACACATAGAAGCGTAGTATGCATGTATATAGGTATGTGTGTTAGTCAAACGTAGTTTGGGTAGCATGGCCACACAATTTAACCTTTGGCTCGGCTTGACAATGCCATCAATCATTTGGTCTGGCAGCTAACATTGCGTTTGGTAGGCAATCTCGCTGGCGCTTATCCTTTAACCTGAGCAAAGCGAGCATGAGCACGACTCACACTCATTCAATTACCAAACCAGTAGAGTTTTTTTTTTTTGGGCTCTCTGCGGTTGGGTTTTGGCCTTTGTTTGTATTCAGATAAAACCCCATCTAAGTTATGCCAAAACGCACTCGAGCAGCTCTCAAGGCGAAAATCATGAAATATTTATCAGATGTGTGTCTGTGCGTCTGTGTGTATGAGTGTGTAAGACCCCAAAAGCCGACTGATTAAAATGCGGATATGCTGACAGCTCGCCCATACATAACTAACTCATTTCGATACGGAAACGAGCCACGCCTCAATCATTTGTTAAACGCCCCATGGGCGGCATCATATCATTTACCACCGACCTGATAATCAATCATAATGAAAGGCACAAATACCAGCACACACACACACACGCACCCACATATGTGTGAGTTTTAACTATTTTACAATAATTTAACTCAAGTAAAGCAAACTTTTCATACTAATTAACAAACACTTGTGGCCCACGCCCGCACACCCGCACGCCCTTTACATAAGTATGCACAGGTTAATTGACTTGGCCATTAGGCCAAAAGGTAAACTTCAAGTTGAACATAAAATTCAAGCATTAATGAAAAGAAGCAGAAACACAAAAAGCAAGCAGTTAAAGCCGACTGCCCAAATGCCCTTACACCTTGGGACCATAAATGTAAAAGTTTTCGTCCAGCTGCTGCTGCTGCTGCGGCTGCGGCTGCTGCTCTGGGAAAACAAGTGGCCAAAACTTTCATTCATTCAGCTCGGGCATACATTTTATTGCCCAGCTTGGCCAGAATTGATTGAGGTCCACGCACAGCGAAGACAATCGAAATTGCTGGTTGATAACGGTCGGCCCTCTGCTGGGATCCAGCCTCCATTCAACTTTAAATCAATGCCCCTCTAGCGGCCTAGTTCACGCTCTCACACCCAGCAGGCTTTCATTCATCACTCCATACACAGCTTCAGACAGACTTCTCATTTGATTTGGCATCTCAAGTTGAAATTAACAAATAAAAATATTTCCATTTCTCCAAATTGATTTGGCCATGCATAATCACTTCATATCCTTTGTGGTCGGCGGCGTCGTCGGCTTTCTAATTGCAAAGCACGGCGTAAGTAATCTATGTAGATTAACATTCATATTCATTGAAGCTCTAACGCTTCTATTTTTCCACAGCGGTTTTGAAATGGCGCCCAGTATGAATGAACCCAGGAGCAAAATCCCGAATCCCGTTTAAAAAGTTTCTCAAGTAATTCCAGACTTTTACTCTTCCCTTTTGTAACCCAAACTTGCAGTTCACAGTTTACCAGGCATCGACTCAATATGCTTGTCGCATTTCTCTTTGGCTTTATCGCGGGCATGATTTTTTGTTGCAAGCAACGGAAATGCCGCCCATAAGTTTACTAATTTATTAACAATAAAAAAAAAAATTATAAAAAATCAATCTTTAATATTATCATAGAGTTGTCTCTAAATATAAGTATATTTCTCTTAAACAAATATAAATGGGAATATGAAACTTCTCTCAAATCTTAAGTGCTTCTCCCTACGCCAATGACATCATTTATTACTCATTAGTTTATTATTATTTTAAATATATTTTGAATTTATTTTTCCTCTCATATTCTCTATTCCAATATAACCCATTGCATTCCAATCATTACCATCACTCAATATTTGATCATTATTTATTGCTTATATACTACATATTTCTAATATTATTGCACTTTATCTAGTTTGTACATATTTGATTTATATGTCTTGATAGGAAATGATTTAGTTTCTTCAATCGGTAATTTTGTAACCTGGTTAGGGTGGACCACAACGTTTGCACAGCATCAAGCCCGTTATTAAACCCAGGCCATATGATATAATGTGACTCATCATGAAGATCTAGTGGCTGAGATTAGATATAAATATATATAAATATATATTTTATTTATAAACTTACAGAAAAAAATGTCCTTACACTAGATAATGTGGTTATGAGCAACGTCGTCTCCCCTCTGAGAAATTTCTTAACTATACAAATATATATGTATGAGACTGAAAGCAAAGTCTACTTATATACAACAAAATGATTTGCTCTACCTCATGTCAATTTTGCATATATTTTCTCGACTTGCTGGAAGCTCAACAATGAACGCCAATTAAATAACCAAGAATGCAGCCCACCAGCAGAGTGACTAGCCAATCCAACTCCATTTTCTTTTCTGTTTATATACCCCTATCTACTTGAATTACCTTTACAAATCCAAAAATTTAGAAAATCAAAAAAAAAAAAAAAAAAAATAGGTTGTGTATAGAACGATACGATACTCACGGAACACTACTTTATACTGATCTGATTCCTTGGGGCTGAGATTAGATATAAATATATATATATTTTTATATAATATATATTTTATTTATAAACTTACAGAAAAAATGTCCTTACACTAGATAATGTGGTTATGAGCAACGTCGTCTCCCCTCTGAGAAATTTCTTAACTATACAAATATATATGTATGAGACAAAAAGCAAAGTCTACTTATATACAACAAAATGATTTGCTCTACCTCATGTCAATTTTTCATCTAGTTTCTCGACTTGCTGGAAGCTCAACATTGAACGCCAATTAAATAACCAAGAATGCAGCCCACCAGCAGAGTGACTAGCCAATCCAACTTCATTTTCTTTTCTGTTTATATACCCCTATCTACTTGAATTACCTTTACAAATCCAAAAATTTAGAAAATCCAAAAAAAAAAATAGGTTGTGTAGAGAACGATACGATACTCACGGAACACTACTTTATACTGATCTGATTCCTTGGGGTTGCTTGGAACGTGACGTCTCAAAGCATGCTACTCAAAAAGCGAAAAATTTGAGAATCAATTTTATATGAGACAGAAAACTCAAGAACTTTCATTAAAGATTCTTGGAATAATTGCAATTTTTATGATATTGGAATTTGATGTAGAGAAGGTCTTTTATAGAACATCGAAAAGCATCTAGTTATAGAAGCACAACATAAGATATATAACTTTAAGAAGAAAGCCCAAGTCATGAATTCCACAACAGTTTTTCAGTGGTTAAAATAATCTCATTTATTTAAGTTAAGGTTCAAGCATTACGATTCACATTCAATTGTGGGAAATCCCAAGAAAATCTACTCAAACCATTTTCCGTAAATTTTATAGGTCTGAATAGTTGTTTGCCAAAAGCTATTATTCAAAGGATTTCTCTTCATGCACCTTTAATGAAATTTATAGAGTTTCAATGTCTATTATAATCTGCATTTAAATCATTTCTTACTTCTCTTTGCGGTTTACGAATGGAGACCGACTACAAAGCCCAATACGCAACCCAACAGCAATGTAACCGCCCAAGTGTAATCCATTTTATAATTTTAATATTATTTAAAAAAAGAAAATGATAACTACGAAATTTTTACGTATAATTTTGTTAGCAGAAGCGTTTAAAATATGAAACTAACTAAATTCAATGCCTACTTGGCAGACACATACTAATATGATTTTCGACAAGCGCTCTTTGTTTTGTATAGAAATTAGCTGACTACTGTGCAAGAGCTTTGATCGTTAAACATCGTTAGGGCACGTGAAATGAGTGTGAGCATGTGTATGTGAATGATAATACCATTTGTATAAAGTTTTTCTATTCAATTTGCTCACTGAGTCTTAATATACGAATGATAGATTATACGATTATCTCTCCCTAAACGACGAACGTCACACGAACAGATCAGCTCAAAACGCTCAATAGAATACAAAAACGAAAAAGCATAAAGCAAGAGCACTGCCTTGGGATGTTTTCGGCTGATCTCCTTAACAGAGTGAGAGCTATGATCATAGAAGAATACTTAAATAGACGTCTCTAATATCCACATGCACCAACTACGTGTTGGATTTCCGAAAGGAAAAAACCTGCGTTTGCATATTGGCAAATCAAAATTTTATTAAAAATATATTTTTGTAAAGAATTTATTTATAAAGGAATATATAGTTGCTCTGTAATCCACCAAAGTTGAAGGGAAATGAATCCATTTTTTTTCAAAGGTTTCGGAAACACCCATCACATAACTGGATCGAGTCCAGTTGAAATTATATATTAGTCAGAGATCATACACTTCCTAATGTACACAGATTGATGTTTGTATTTGGGCCAACTGGGATGACAGCAGGCCGTTTTTCTGTAAAGCTGCTTCTGTCAGGTTTAGTCGACAAAACTATTTTCAGGCAGTCATACACACAGAGTTTTCGTAATACTGTTCAAAATTTCCCTGTTTTTTGCCTATTCGATTTTCTAGTTTTAACTTTTATTTTTCTTCTTCATTTTAAAAATAAACCTTTTTGTTATCACTCTTTGAAACCAGCCCGCGCATGTGTAATAAAGACTGTGGAGCACAGCGGCCCCAATCGGGCTGCCCCAATCCATCATGTAGGCCACCGCCGTCGCTACGTCCGACATGTCGGCCACCGCCGACGCTTTTCTCGAAGCTTAACTGTACGGCCTGCAATCGATTGTTTTTCTTCATTGTGGGCGCTGGCATTGGTCTGGCGATCGATGCAATTAAAGAGAGCGCCAGGAAAGCGCAGGAGGAAGCGAACAAAGATCCCAAACAGAAGGAGAAGGAGAAGAAAGAGAAGGAGAAACAGGAGAAGGCTGAAAAGGAAAAGAAGGAGAAAGAGAAGAAAGAGAAAGAAAAGAAGGCCAAGGAACAACAGGAAAAAGAGAAAAAAGAAAAAGAAAAGAAGGCCAAGGAACAGGAAAAGAAAGAAGCAAAAAAATAACAGATCAACAGCCACAAAATTAAGTTAACTTAGGAACAGTAACGTTTGGGTTTAGTCATCAGATGAAATTGAATTCCAAATTGAAAAATTCCAAAAAATAGATAAGATAGTGGCAGAACGGGATATGCCTTTACGCTAGCTAACTGTGTGACTCCAAATTAATAGTTTACTAAAAAAGTCTAAATTTAAAGTGCATTTTAATTAAAAATAATTATGTGCAAAATAAAAAAAAAAACGCCGCGCAAATTCCCTATTTTTTAAGAGAAAATGTATTAATTTATAATTATAAAAGATTAAACTATTATTCGAAATGGTTTTTTTCTCCTCGTTCGGCTCGACGCACCGAAAACGAATTATAATTATAATAATTCATAAATATTTAATTTCAAAATAAATTGAGATTAAAATTTATGCTAATATTGAAAATAATATTTAATAATATATTAATTGATAAATTTTAAAATAATTAATTAATATTTATGCGAATATTAAAAATAAAATTTAATAATAATATTTAATATTTAAAATTTAATATTTATTAATATTTAATTAAAAAATATATTGCGGTTAGGGTTTATGCGAAAAATAAACATAATATTTTTTAGTTATTTTATTTTAAATACTATGCTCAGTTGCATTCCATTGACAGCTGCAAACACTTCATTAATTTTAAAGTCTGTATTCAAATTAAATTGATATTTATTTAAAAAAAAAAAAAAGTTTTAAGAATGGTTTGCATTGATACGGGAACTTTTTAATCTGAGTATCATTTACAACTGTATAAATAATGAATTAACCATGTATTCGTGTCCCGTTCTTCACAAACGGAGTCCCCACGTAGAGCAAAGGGTAGACACAAATAGCGATTACTCTCTGGATTCGCTGGTTAGTCTTCTGGCTTACTTTTTCTCTTCCTTCTGTCGGTCGGCATTGAGTTCTTTATTTCGCAGGAAAAGTGCACCAAGTCCCACCCCAACCATGAAGAACAGAACATGATTACATGGTTTACAATTCAAGCGCGAGATCAACGATGGCTGTGGTCTGCACATAGATCGTCGCATCTCTGGCATTTTTATTTATACTGGATAAATGATGTTTAAATGTTGTTTCGACTCTAAAGCGTTGAACTGAATATCACATTTTGTTCGATAAACTGTATGTAAATCGTTTGACAGATGTTCATTGCATGGGCGATATGATCGGACCAAACTAATTCCATTTTTATTTTCATTCATTCTCAGATTCCGCACAATTAGCGTTTCAATCATATCGATTATCTGTCCCTTCGAATGCTAATCTACGATTATGTAGAATCCTTTTTCCGTATTTCTTGGAATTTCTTGCGCCATCTTTACGTCTTAGAGCCCAACGTTCGTCCTTCTGTTATGTTGCTTAAATTGTATCTTCACTCATGACTACTTCTCAGGCTCTGGATAGTTTTCACTCGTTACACGCAAGCATCGCTGTGATATTGTCCGAAACTTCTGAGTAAACCAGGCGGCGCAATGTTCGGCCTCTACTTCTTCTTGGCTTTCTTCTCGTCCTCCTTCTTCTTGTCATCGCCGAAGGTCTTGCCATACCAGAGGCTAACCAAAACGCCGGCAATCACTGCTGAGATGCGCTCACAACACATCTGCATCTTTAACTTGGATTTGTATAATAAACTATTGCCGAAATCTGTTCAATTTACTCTATAATTTTGTTGGAATTTATGCAAAAGTTTTGCTGCGTGTAGTCGAGCTGAGTAAACTAAATATGTTTAATGACCCCCTAGCTACTGTGTTCAAGTGTGACAATCAAAAGGCAAAAGCCTACTTTGCATAAGGTTTTCGAAACTCCCCATTCCGACTTTTTCATCAAGTGCTAAACAACTGTCAAATTAAAGACTGGCCCAACAAGATTCACCCTCAAATTGCGGCCTGCTTATGCCTGAGGCCCTGCCCTCAAAGGCACGCTTAAGTATATATCTTTATGTATATATCTATGTTTGTATATCTAACTCTGGCATCAGCTATTTGGCTCTTTTCATTCCTGTCTTTTTTTTTTTTTTTTTTTTTTTTTGGGGTCACATTATAATTTCATTTGACAATTGTGGCACATCAAGATGTCACAAGTTGCGTCTGTCCATGCCATACGTTGAGCGCTACACCAAAAAGACTTCAGTTGAAGAGCTCGAAATTATGCGCTGAATCAAAAATTAATGCCAGAGTCGCTGGTGGGAATACCCTTACTGATATAGGGTTTAGTTGCCGTCAAAATAATATATACATATATATTTCTTCCCTTAATTTAAGCTTTATTTGCAATTTGTTTTAATGTTAAAAAATAAATAAAAAATACTATAAATTACTTTTTTTTTAAGTTTTTTTTTTTTAAATTTTTTAATTTATATTATTATTTATTATTTTTTTAATTATTAAACCAAGCTAAGGAACTATTGCTGGAAGTCACAATGCTTGTTCGACTGTTTTTATATAAGACATCAATTTAATAAAATATAATGTATAATTCTCTCTGATTATGCAGCTTATGCAACTTATTGAGCAGGCTATACCCTTTCAAAAGATTATGAATTAAATGTACGTGTTGCTCATTCTATCAAATTTGATGCCTTATCAATTATTTAAAAATTGAATGTCGCATAAATAATAAATTTATTGACGACACGAGCTAATAAAATGCTTTTAAGAAGTTTTAACAAAAGTTCTGCCATTGAATTAAATCGATTTTAATTTTAAAATGAGTATTTAATTTTTGAGTAAACCTAGAGATATTTAATGCGGAAAAAATTATGAAGAATTTTGAAAATTAATTCGTGTTTAAATAGAAAATAATAAAAAAATTGAATAAAAAATAATAATATTAAAAACATACATTTGTAAATAATTTTAAAATATTTAATAATAAATAATTTAAAATTATTATATTAAATTCAAGTATTTTGTATGTCAACGATTTTTGGGTTAGGGTAAATTAAGTTCGACCATATATATACACATATTTTCTTTGTTATTATAAAGCAAACATATTTTTTATCCGTAATAAAGGCATTGTTTTTTTTTTTTTTTTTTTTTTTTTTTTTTTTTTGAGGTTTTAGCCCAACCTTTGCAAACTTGACCAGCATAAATATAAATTTTCTAACTATTATATTTTCTCTATATGTTTTCCTTTCTAAGAGTATTCGTTGTACGTCTTAGGCTGCTTCAAGTCGCATAACGAATCACGTTAACAGCTTGTTACGTACATTATGCAAAGGAATAACGACTTGGTTATATACTTTATATTATGTTATATAATCCAGGGCACAAATGATGCTTGGCTGTAGACGATTGTCAGCCTTTGTGTGTGTGGGTGTGTGTGTGTATGTGTGGGTGTTTGTGAGTTTGGTTAGCTGCCTCAGGCCCCAGGGCAGAGGTAAAGCAAAACAATCACAGGTCGCACAAGGCAAAAAGTTGTTCAATTGCATACGAGTAACCGACTTGTGTTGTGTGTAGCCAGGTGTGTGTATAAGTCTGTGTGTGTGTGTGTGTTTGAGTTTTGCTGTGCTTCAACAATGTGCTCATAACACACACACACACACACAGCTTGGAGCTGGTTTTGCTGGCACTCAATGTGAACTCACCTTGGTATCTGCAGCGCAATCTCGTCGAGACTGTCGGATGGACTCATTGGGGTCCGTTCGAATAGCCGGGAGGGCGCCAGGGTCAGGTGGCCAGTGGAATCGCTGACACATTTGAAGACCTTGGCGCCGCGCCTTTGCCGCTGCTGTTGACGCTGCTGTTCGACGCGTTTCTTCCGTTTGTTCTCCTCGGCGCGCTGGAGATTATGCAAGCGAAAGAAGAACATTGACATTCTGCAATCGGCGGGGTGGGGATGGACGGCTAACATGAAGGGCGGCGGGGTGGGGTGGCAGATATGACGTAGAGACATGTGATTGGGCAATAGGCAGAGAAAGTTCAGAATGCAATTGTGCAGGCGAAGCAGGCGAATTGTAAAATTTGTTTCATTTTCGATTTGATTTTGATGTTATTTAATAATTTTTTTTTTTTTTTTTTTCCACCAAATTTGGAATTTGTCAGCGCGCACGCATTTTGTTGATTGTTGTTGTTGTTGTTCGCATAATTTGGCATTTCAGTCAGTCAGTGAAGACAAAGCATTTCATTTATTGTTGACGTTGTTGTTGTTGTTGTAATTGTTGTGGTTGGGTTGCATTTGGTTTGAAAGCAACATGAATTATGCAACAGAATTGAGAGCGTAAAGCATTTTTGATTTAAGCTTTGTGCATGAGTTTACAACTCTGTGTGAGAGTGTATGTGTGTGTGTGTGTAAAAGTGTGACTGTGTTTGTGTGTGTGTGTGGCTTGCAATATTTGGAGCTGCTGTCACCCAAAGTCGTTAGTGCACCAACATACATACATGGATACATACACATATACAAATTGCGCATGCAAAAAGCCAAAATGCCAAACGTAAATACAAATCAGATTGGATAAACAGGATTGTTAAGTGTATTAACTTTCAGATACCCAGTTTTATGTATAGAAATAATAAACTTAATAATATTGGAAATAGATATAATAATTTAATATATAATATAGTAATTATTATAAAATAATAAATATAAAACAATTTATATATTATATATATTAATAATATATAGAAATATTTATTTATATTATAAAATTAATTATATAATTTATATAATATAAATAAATATTTTAACAAGCTGCAGTTCCGGTTGATTATAGTTGTGTGTAATCAAAAAAATAAATATTACTATATTTTTCATATATCAATAATGATATAAACAGCTATAAAAATATATATTCCTGGTCTTACTTTTGCTACTTAAGAATTTTTTTCCCATTCAGATTCAATACTTATTGTAACTTATATGCATATAGACATATATAACAAGTTTATAAATATAACAAGTCAAATACATAACTTAGTTTTAAAAATAATATATATAGGTATGATAAAATTGTATAAAATATTCAACAAAAAAGACGAACATGAAGAGTGTCCTTCCTCTCTTATCATAGACTAGAAGGGCGTGGGAGTGATGTACTCAGTTGGTAGGAATCATAGTTTATCAATCAGTCCCCATAAGCCTCATGGCGCCAAATCATAATGGATTGACATCATCAAAAGCAACTCAATTCACATGATTTGTGTGCCACTCTGACTCATTTCAAATCAGTTATACAGGGTATATGAAAGCCAAATCTAAATGACATGTGCGCTTTGGGGCACACATAGAGCGAGCAGCAAAGTAAAATTAACTTCCGGCAGCATCAATCAACTTTAAGCATTTTGCAACAAGAGAGCGATAGAGAAAGAGAGATGGAATGAATGCAAAAGAAAGAGAGGCATAGAGAGAGGCAGCAGTGCATATAGAGCTATAAAGCATCGCTGGACAGCTGCTTACCAAATGTGTGTTGCAGACCGGAAATTGAAATATGAAGAGTTGTGTTTTTTTTTTTCGGGCATCTTTAAAATGCTGAAAAGTTTAGAAGAAACCAAAACGGAAATGAGCGGAAATTCTAGCCCAATGCCCCAATGCAATTTTGTGCGTCATTCAAGGCCAACAAAACAGATACAGCGAGGGAGAGAGACGGTCAGTTAGAGAGAGGGAGTGACAGCATAACAGATGGCAGTAAATCAATTGGCTAAAGAGCCAAAGTGGTGGGACATTGATTGATCTGGCTGCAATCAGGCGTTAAATACGTATTACGTTTGTCGTCAGCAGACAGCGAAGGGGCTTCCGTTCAATTAGACCGCAGTTATTTCAGCCTAATGACACGACTCGACTTCCCCACTTAATGAGCCAGTCGCACATTGAGCTGGAGGATTGTGTCAAAAAGTAAATTAATCGAAATTTACATAAATTTACTCAAGACATTGGCGCGTCTCTGGGCCTCGTCTGTGCCAATACCAATCGAAATACAATGCGGCTCTCCCACAAGTAATTACCAATCGAGTCCCAGACGGCGAGTAAAACAAAAGCGAACGAAAGAGATAGACAAAATGAGACAGTGAGAGAGAGAGAGAGAGAGACAGAATAAAATCAAATAAGTACAACATGAGCTAACCATTGAGATACCCTGCAAAATGGGGTTCGGAAATTATTTGCAGGTTGAAAAAATTAAATAAAATGATTTATTTCTTGTAATATTTTAATTTAATGAATTTAATTAAGTGAGTAACACATCGTTTTTTTTTTTTTTTTTTTTTTTTGTTAGTTTTTTTTTCCTTTTTTTTAAACAAATCTAGCTTCATAATAGTACATCCACTATTTTTTTATTCAATTGATTTTTCTTGTAAAATTAGGATTATATATAATAAGTTTGATTTACTGATTAAAATGAAAAAAACTAAAGTGAAAGCTTTTAAACTATGTAGAATATGTCCATACTTGATCAATTTTCTTGTAATATTTAATCAACTTTAGTAACTCATCATAGCTCTACCGTCTCATATCACAGGGTATATGAAAAAACCAAACACTTTACATCATCATTAGCTTGCAAAGAGAAAGAGAGAGAGAGAGAGAGAGAGAGAGAGAGAGCATCGACACTGTACACACTTTGTTAATTAGGCAAACTCTGTCAGTGTTTAATAGCTTTATAATTTCCCCGAGTTTGCCAAGGCGACGATTTTTTATGGGGTGGCCCGAGCTAAATGATTTCAAGTCTGCAAAATGAAGTAAATTAAGGCCGAATGAACATCCAGCTGGAGCGTGTTTAAATGATCAGTGGAAAACTCTTATTTAAATTAGATTACAGCTAATGTGAGAAAGAAAATAGAATCGATTTGGTCACGCCTCAAGTGCACAGAGAATTAAATTAAATACATTAAAAGAACAATTTCAAGCCAGTCTGGCCAAGAGCTTTGCGAAACCTTTCAGTGTCTTTCCGAACCTGGTCAGAATGAGTGCCAGCTGGATTATATTTGTAATGCTTGGCGCTTCAGTACTATTCCATGGCCAGGCCAAAGTTCGCAGATATCCCGGAGTAGATCTGTGCACCGTAGGCGTGGTAATGTTTGCACGTGTGACGTGCGCACCCTTACAACCAATCTGGGTTATGTACCACGGCCGATGCCGCAAGGGTTATCATTGCTTTCGCGGATTAACGTTAAGGGAGTGTATAAGGCAGTGTTACACGCGGGATATCAGCACTATGAGAACCAAAAAGACAACAACAACAACAACAACAACAACAACAACAACGACGACGACGACGACGACAAGAAGATCTAGAATAACAAGATCAACAACGGAGAGACCAAGTGGAACGCCTTGGTTTGAAGGAACGACGACACGAAGGAGAACGCGCAGAACCCGAACAACTCCAGCACTCAGATAATCGAAAAAAAACTTAAAAGATATGTATATACATATATTCATATATAATCATCAAACGTTACTGCACCCAAATAAATTTCACGCATTTGCATACAGATTAATTTGATTCAATCGAGCAACAGTGAGTATATGACATTTGTAATATACCTTGGATGAGAAAATAGAAAAGCGTTATTCCCGTTTCGGTTGTCATGGGCCAACGAGTTATCCAATTAAGTGAATCCATCCACGCTATAAAACAGCTAGTGATAACAGAAAAATAAAAACAAAACAAGTTTACATATTACACTTTATACTAATAATTGGCAGAAGAGGAAGAGGAGAGGAGCCAATTGGTCGTTCATTTAGAAATAATTGAATTGCAAATACAAATTGATACAAATTGCTGAGCTACATACTGTGGTCGTAATTAAGCTTGAATGGGGTATAAAAAAGAAGAGAGAGAGAGAAAGAGACAAAGAAGGGAAAAGAGAGAGAGAGAGAGGGAACAAATAGAGGAAGGAGGAATTTTGTTAGAGGAAAAACAACAGATCTGAACGAAAAGGAATGGACAGACGTATATAAAGAGGTATATAAGGAGAAAGAGAGACAAAGAGAGAGGGAGAGAGATAGAGATAGAGAAAAAACGAGAGCAAAGAGAAAGAAAAGAGGGAAAAAAAAAGGAAACACGAGAGAGAACATCCGAGCTAAGGAGAAATAGAGAGAATGAAGGAAATATATATCGATTTCATAATGGAATTCATGAAACATGAATCATGAATCCGTCAAGGTATATTAAAATTATGCAGCAAAATATTGGATTCATTATCTATATTATATAATATACATTCAACCGTTCAGAGTGGAACAAACATAACGAACAGGCAGAACGAAGGGCGTAAACAAATCGAATCGCCTGTTGATTGCGATCAAACGTAATACCTGTTACATCGTATATATTCTCCAGTTTGTGAAAAGGTAAAACGCCGACAAATTCGCTTCCGCACAACGCGCAAAATTAGCAAAACTGTTAAATAAACCTAAACGCAGCTTATCAAACGCACGCAGCCGATTCTCCATTCGCCTCGCAGTGGGCTGCGTGCCGATGCCTTAAATGATTTCACGCCCATTGCGGGGAAAAAAGAAACAGAAAAACAAACAATGGCAACATTTTCAGCATTCCAACGAGCCCAAAGCGAACAATGGACAGGAGCACAAATGAAGAGAGGGAAAGAAAGAAAGAAGCAAAAAAAAAAAAAAAAACCGTGGAGCCCAATAATCATTAGGGCACAAAAAACTTGGTCAAAAGCAAAGAATTGCGACCCGCTGGCTTTTGTCATGCATTGGGGTTGAGTGCGTTCAAGCGCACACAACTACACACACACTCATACACACACACACACATTGGTGGCTATTGCCAGTGCGAATATAAAGCAAAATGCCGAAATAAACACTTGTGCGAGCTTGAACGCTGCCTCCTGCTGTTAGCTGTTGTTAGCTGGCCACAAAAGGCCATATTTTCCAGCTCAACAGTGGCGTTTAGGCCACGTTTCAGTGCTCTGTGTGTGTTTGTGGGCGTGCGTGTGCTTGCACTTGTGCGCCTGTACCGGACACAGGTCATTTCACTGTCCTTATGATGGGGCGTGCCGTAACAAAACCCACCATGTCTGCCGCCCAGACCAGCCGAAAAATGAAGATGCGCCATAAAAATGTAGACAATTTTTACGACGCGGCACAACATGAGAAGGGCCACTTTATTTCTTCATTAAAAATCCAGCATTGATTGCCCACACACACACACACACACACACTTACACACACATAGAGAGCAAGCACATACCTTAGCACACTTTGGCTGGAACAATAACAATTTGATGGCCTTTAATTGTGAACAGACATGATTCCTTCTGATTTAGCTGTTACACGCACTCACACACACACAATCACACATACACAGGCCCAAAAACTGTAAAATAAATAAATTGTTAATTTATAATTCAATCAATAATATTTTATATGTCCAAACTTATGCTGGAAATGGTCGAATAAAATAAAATGTACATAAGAATATAAATAAAATAAATCAATTTACATTCATCCGAGCACAATTGCGCGTGGAGCTGTAAAAAGTCTAGGAATTAAATATACATATATTTATATTTATATACATATATTTATATTTATCAATAATATATAATGGCATAGAGCAGGCCAATAGCTCTGTGGGGTATATATGTATATAAAATATTATATACCCTAGAAACATATTTGTATTTTAAATATTTATTTATTATTATTAGTACTATTATTATTATTATTATTATTATTATTATTATTATTATTATTATTATTATTTTTATTTTTATTATTATTATTTATTTTTTTATTTTTTTTCATTACATACCCTGGAAACATATTTGTATATTTTAAATATTTATTTATTACTATTATTTTTTTCATTTATTTATTTTTTTTTTTGTTTTATAAAATTAACTGTAGCTTGCCGAGTATCTGCGCAATTAACTTTATATATTTTATATACCTTATAAATTTAATATATGTTATTTTATTATTATATATATTATTTTTATTTTTTATTTAATAATTTTATATATAACATAGATTATAGAAAATATATAAACCTAAAGTATTTATCAAAATAATAATAGTATTCTATTTTATGAATAAAATTATCTCTAGTCTACAGGCTATCTGATTTCAAGTTTTTAATAAATTCTAAGCTTTTTCTTAATTTTTTTTCTATATTTTTATTTTTACAAATTTACAAAATATTTTTATCTTACATACAGTCAAACTATAATTAGTTCATTCCATTTTATTTTGCATTACATTTTTTTATTTTATTTTTTTTAATACATCTCAACTCTATTCTACAGAGTATCTACATTTTCCTTACTCTGTCTCTGCCTTATGCTTTTTGTTTCAGCTGAAAATTGCAATTTATATTTAACACGCACAGGCACATTTTGAGCCACGTTGTTGGCCTGTTTGCCTCAGCCGCTTGCCACATTTTATTTCCTTCTGTTCTTTATTTCTATTGTATTTTGCGGCTTTTGATCTGTTTGAATTTCAATATGGCTGAGTTTGACATTTCACGGCGTGTTGAATTGCCAAGGATTTGTGCACGCATTTGAATTGAAGCCAGTTAAATCCCATTGGAATTGTATTGTTTATAGCTCCACTTAAATCTATAATTACTTTTGATTCAACTCGTTGCGTTGATTGTTAATAATAATTGAATACCACTTGAGGGTGGAGCTTAAAGCAATTAGTAATCTATATTGCAATTGACATTTATTAATCATAATTAAGTTGGCTTTTGTAAAATGATTTTAATATCAATTTTTTTTTTTTACTTATTTATTTTTTGCTAAATTGAAAACCTGAACAGATATGAGAGCTACAATTTTTTTTATTATTAAAAATGATTTTCATTTATTAGTAAATTGAATTGACAAGGCAGTTAAACAACGATATATATAGATATATCAGTAATATTTCTCTAAACTAAATTTAAAGTTTCAGTAATTAATAATATGATACTCCTAACCTAGAAGATTCGTATATATTTAAATTTAATTAAACTAATTTGAATACTAATAAAATATTATATAAATAAGACTATTTAAACACATTCAGCATTCATAAAACTAAAGGCCATAAATATTGCAAAAACCAGACATAACTTGGTAACTCTTTAAAATTTTAACTGCGACAACTTAACTGAAGTTTGTAAACTGTAAAACTTTGGGCGTTAGTCAACTTGCCAGCTAATTAAGGCCCACAAACATACATACTATTGCAAAAGCAATTGAAGCAAATGCTTCGCTGGCCTAGCATAAAGCAATCAAAACGTAATAAATAAATTCAAAATAGAGAAAAAGAAGAAGAGGAAGAGAAAGCATTCAAGTTGCTTCAAGAATGGGAATAAACACAAATATGGGTTGAAGGATTATATACTTATAAATAAATACATATATGTACACATATAGTTATAAGAGGTAAGCCAATACAATAGGGCAACTGTTGACTGAGCTGAGATGAGTTTCAAAAAGATGACGAAGACGTCGAGAATGCTGCGGAGCATGAGTTGAAGCATGTGTGGATGGATGTATGGATGAGGATGTGAAATGAGAGCCAGGTCACAGCAACAAGAACGGCAACAATGAAAGCGTGTGTGTATGTGTGAGTGTCTGAGTGTGTGAGTGTGCGTGGATGTGTATCAAAAGGATTGGCATTTTAATTTGATTTCGCATTGATAGAGCAAATGGTGACAGTTTACACTGGGCAAGCGGATTGCGGAATGTGTGAGAAAATAAAAAACAACAAAAATCAAAGTATGAAATCAGTCGGGCCTAGCCGACTATAAAATACTCGTTCACGATTTAAAATTGGCTAGCTAATTGAATCAAATTTAAATAACTTTTTTTTTTAATAACTTTGATTATGCAATTTCTAGAACTAGATATTAAGTCGATCAATTTAACGCTAGTTCTGGAACTAGCGTCTATGGAATCAGTCAATAGCTAGAGTCTATTTCTATGGGATCAATTTAAGGAATCAATTTATAGATTTTATCTATAGAATCAATATATCAATCAATCTATTTAGTCAATATTCAGAATCAATTTAGAGAAATAATCCATGGATTATTCTATGAAGTCTATCAATGGATTCAATATTCAAAATTAATTAGACTCACTCTGATTCAATTAGTTTCTTTTTATTTGACTCAATCTATGGAGAGAGACAACTAGATCATTCAGCTTTTTTCTTTTCATATTATCAGACAATCTACAAAACTACCCCCCTAAAACTTCCTATATTAACACTAAACTATATATCTTCAGACATGCATCATCCCTAGCCCATCTACTCTGTACATGAGGTGAACGAGCATTAGAATGTATACGAAAAACTTACTTGTGAAAACCAACTCACTATTGTGTAGTTGCGTGTAATTGTTAAAGGACTGCTATCATTATCATTATCATTATTATTGTTATTGTTATTGTTATTGGTATTGTTGTTGTTGTTATTAATATTATTGCTGCTCATGTTGCAAGTCAAGTGAAACATATATGAGACAGAGATAGA